ATTATTCTGCCTATTGCAGTGGCTTTGGCCAAAGGGTCTGACCTTTGGGATAATAGCTATCCTCTCCATAGGGAGTTTGGTGGGAATTAAAATAAGGTGATTCAGACTTGTATTCCACAGGAAGTGACTGAAGCACCTGCCAAGGGGCCAGTGTGTGCTGGAGCCTGATGACCCGGTGATGGACAAATGATTCCATCAGAACTCCTGCTTCTGCGAGGGAGGCAGTGCCTGAGGGGACTCAGAATCAGACAGATCAGGGGTTCAATCCCAGCTCTGCCTCCTCCTAGCAGCCTGAGTATGGGTGAGATCGGGGAGCAGGGAGGGGCTGGAAGGGAGAAAACAAACAGATGCATTCATGTGACCTCATTTCACCTTCACCGCAGCCCTGCCAGGCAAACTTCTGTTCCCTCCCAACCCCCCGCCATTTCGCAGAGGTGGAAACAACAGCTCAGAGAGATCAAGTGCCTTGTCTGAGATCACACAGCTACCAAGTGGGGAGCTGGGATTCCCCATGCCTCAGGATTCCCAAACGGATGCCACCCACTCCACCTCCAGGGCTGTCTGCCACATCTGCTTCCTCCTAGGCTGTGGCTTCCTTCATATGTTCTTTAAATCGACTTACTGCCTTTTTTATTTGAATGCGTTCTTTTAAAATGAGACTTTATATTACTCCTATAAATGGAAAATCACAGGATTCATGGGCTAGTTATGTATATTTTTATAATGCACATTAAAATGAATTTATCACCGTAAAAATGAGAAATGTTCATCCATAGACCATGTACAATTATTCCACATGCCATCAGTGTGTTTCATCCCTCTCTTTGGGAGTCGGCTTCGCACCTGTCCTAGTTTCACCAAATCACAATGTTATGAATGGCTATCATTTATTATGACATGAAATCGTCAAATGACTTCTGTGCACAATCAAATGCAGACTCCCCAGCATGGTCTCAGGGCCCTCCTGGCCCCTGGTTTCCTGATCTCCAGTTCCTCTGGCCTTGCTACTCTTAGACAAAGGAGGACTTCTCTTGTTTTTCTGCCTACTCAGCCAGAAGATCCCAGGGCATGGGCCTGTGGAGCCAAAGTTCTTAACCACTGCACTGTGTCACCTTTCTATGATGTCTGGCCTCAGCAAGGCTTATGAAGGAACAGAAACAGACTTGAAAATGAAGTTGGGGGCTGGGTGTGGTGGCTCACGCCTGTAATCCCAGCACTTTGGGAGGCTGAGGTGGGCGGATCACGGGGTCAGGAGATTGAGACCACCCTGGCTAACACAGTGAAATCCCGTCTCTACTAAAAATACAAAAAATTAGCTGGGTGTGGTGGTGGGTGCCTGTAGTCCCAGCTACTTGGGAGGCTGAGGCAGGAGAATGGCATGAACCGGGGAGGCAGAGCTTGCAGTGAGCTGAGATCACACCACTGCTCTCCAGCCTGGGTGACAGAGTAAGACTCTGTCTCAAAAAAAAAAAAAAAAAAAATAAAGAAAATGAAGTTGGGAAGAGATAGGCCAGGCCTCCCAGGAGCCCCAAGCTTGTGGAGTCCCCTTGGTCTCATTGGCACAAGGAGAATGGTTTGATCAAGTCCACCAACCAAGTTTTGTGGGTCTAACAGTGCAACTTCTGCCAAGTGGGAGGAGCTTAGGGACTTTTTATAACCTCTCCTGGGGTAGACACGATGGGCTGCAACAGTGTCCAATCCTAACTCCACGATCTCCTGGGAGGGCAGGGCTTCATGGCAGTTCCTGTCTGCTCTCCACTAGAAGCTTGGCATTGCAAAGGGGCTCAGTTGTGGGACAAAGCAGGGCTTCTTCCAGAAAAGTTGCATCTACTTCCTATTCCCTTTCTTTATTGCAATATGGATAACTTATCATCTGAGGAGGGAGTAGAGATCCCAAGGTAGCTTGCCGAATAGTTGTGCTTATTAATTCCAACTTTTCCCAAGATCAAGGGGAAAAGCAATCGCTGATTTTGTGTGAGTATGGGGAGGGTGTCTCGAGGTCCTGAAAATGAGGTTTGGGTCTCGCAGATTGCTGTGAAGAGGTATTGCCCCAGCTAGAAGAGAAGCCTAGCTCAGGGCCTAGCGCACAGTTGATGGGTTTGCTTAGTGGTTATTCTTCCGTCCTTGTCTGGAACTCTGCATGCCTCTTCATAGCTTAGGAAGAACATGCTTCTCCCTGTGGCTCAGGGCGAGGGAGTGGGAGAGAATGCCAGCTCCAGGGAGGCTTCTAGCACCAGTCAGCCTCAGTTAAAATCCTTGTACCTTCATTGACTAGCTGTGTGACCTTGCACAAATCATTTCCCCTCTGTGCCTCAGTTTCTTCATCTGTAAAATGGGGATCATAATAGTACCTCCCTCAAAAGATTGAGGTGAGGATGAAAGGAGTGAATCCAGGAGCATGCCTGGAAGAGGCAGGAAATGCCTCCTACACAACAGCTATTTTTGCAGCCAGACAGATCTGGGTTTGAATCCCGCCACCAGTGCTAACTACTGTGTGATTTGGGGCAAGTGCCTTGACCTCTCTGGACAGCTGTTTCCTCATCTGGAAATGGGCTTGGTAACAGTCCTGGCTTCCAAAGTTGGTAGTGTGCTTCTAGTAAGCAAGGTGTGTGAAACGGCAGAACCCCGGCCCTGGTGCAGAGCAGGGCCTGATGACAGTGTTAGGGTCTGTCCTCCCCGGAACCCCCTCCTGGGAAGGGCAGAGGGCGGTGGGGTGCCCTGAGGCAGGCTGCTGCCCTGCCCCCAGTCCCCCTCCCCAGCTGCCCCACCCCAGCTGTGACGACCTTGTCCCTGCCTGTCTAAGGGGCAGGAAGGAAGTGAGGAGGGCAGCCAGCAGCTTCCCCTTTTCTGCCCTGCTCCAGGCACCGGGCTCTTTCCCCTTCAGTGCCTCAGAGGAGGGGACAGCAGCACCATGGATCCCCGCTTGTCCACCGTCCGCCAGACCTGCTGCTGCTTCAATGTCCGCATCGCCACCACTGCCTTGGCCATCTACCATGTAGTGAGTGTGGGGGCCCCGGGTGTGCGTGTGTGCGTGCGTGCGTGAGTGTGCGAGTCTGCGGTGACCCCTCATCTACGGAGCCCCGCAAATGAAAGAGTTCCTGCTCTCCACCTCTCAGGGGGGATCCTGGGCAAATCCCTGTCCTACTCTGGGCCTCAGTTTCCTCCTCTGTCAAATGGCTGGGGGGACCCGCAGGAGTGAGGAGTAAGGGAGCAGGAATCCACTTTCCAGGCAAATGTAACTGGCGTTCACTCCGAGGCTGGCTCTGTTTCTGCCTCTGTGAGATGGGGCACAGCAGCGGCCGGAAGGTTATTTGTGCGCAAAGCCAACAGCAGATGTGAAAGTGCTTTGGAAGTCAGGGATCTTGGAAGGAATGTGGGCTGGGATTGTTTGACCAGGATGTGAGGTCGGCCAAAGACACAGCCCCGATTCTTCCCCTGGGGCCTGAATGGAGCCTGGGCCACTCAAGAGGAAAAGAAGTGGGCATCACCCCTTTGTGCTTCCAGTGGGAAGGGAGGGGCCGAGTCCTCTTAGCTTCCAGCTCAGTCAAACCACGGCCTTCTGCCTACCAAAGAGAATTGCGACCTGTGCTAATAATTAGGGTAACTTGCCCGGCACAAGCTCCTGTTGGGCAACTTGTGAAGTCACAGCTGTCCCTGGTTCCTCCTTTCCTGGTAACTCACAGTGTGATCTCGGGCAAGTCACAGTGCCCGGGGGCCAAGGCTCCCCCTCTGCCTGGGGTGGCTGAGGGTCAGGGTCCTTGTACTGTCCTGCCTAGATCCACCTCACCCCCAAACTCCTGGCCACACCCATCTCCCCTAGACCCAGGCAACTTCCTCCTGGGGTGACTCAGGGCCTGTGGTTGGTTGACAGTTTTCTCATGAGTCTGGAAGGGCTTCCTCAAAATTAGCCTAGATCCACATGCTGTGGTGGGCTGCTGCACATTTAGACCTGCCTGCATCTGCTTCCTGTCACAGGCAGGGCAGGCAGAGCTGTGGCAAGAGCCCAGCCTTCAGGGGGGCGATGCTGTTCAGTGGTTAGCGCGCAGCCTCTGGATGCGGACCTCTGCATGCAAATTCTGGCTTCCCTGCTTCCCGGCTGTGCAGCCTTGGGTGATTTACTTAACCTCTCTGAGCCTCAGTTTTCTCATTTAAAACAATGGGGATGTGAGTTATCGTACCTATCTGATAGGGTTTGTTGTGAGGCTCAGGGAGTTGATATATACAAAGCTTGCAGAACCATGCCTGATGCACAGGTGAGTGCCTTATCATTCATTGTGCATCATACATGGCACCTGTTGTGAGCATCCTTGGAGTCAAGCTGTCAGATTCAAGGACTCTAGTTTTGGGAGCAGGAACTCAGAGGTTGTCCTGCCCAGCTCCTGCCAATGCAAGAGCTGAGAGAAGCATATCACTCTTTGGGTGTCCCTGTACCCTGTCTTTTAGGCCTTCAAGCTCTGAGACTATGCAGCATTCTTGGAAGGACAGTGTGGCATGCAGGGACATCTCACAGGTAGCAAGTCCCTGGGTCCTCACCCCAGCCCTGCCACTAACTGGCTGTGTGGACTCAGACAAGCCTCTCTCCGGGCCTCAGTTTCCCTTTTATAAAGTCAGGGGTAAGGTGATGTTGACTGGCTCAGAGGTCTCCAACTCTGATGCCTCCAGGGTCTGGGCAGGCCATGTGAGTGACAGCAGGGGGCAGATGGGCCTGCGGTGACCTGGGGAGGCCTTGCTTGTCCCACCCTAAAGCTGCTCTCTGTTTTTGCTGGTTGTTTCCACAAAGGATTGTGGGCCCTGGTGGCCACTCTTCTGATGTTTGGAGAATAGGGAGCAGGCTTTTGTGTCACATCTTCTGATGTTTCAATGCTAGTGATTGATGCACGGTAGAAAAAAATCTCTGTGCCGGCCAAGTGGAATCCATCTGCAGGCTGTGTGGGCCCAGAGGCTGCCCTGCAAACCCGGGACTGTGGGGCTGTTAAGGTTTCTTGTTGATCAAGAAATGTTGATCCGATGTCCTCACCTGTAAATGGTGGTGTGATATACGGTCCCTGCTCACAGAGCTGAAGAATGTGTGGGCCCAAGCAATCATGGAAGACTTCTTGGAGGTGGTGCCATTGGCAAGAGGGAGAGTTTGGTTGTGGGAAGTATAGAAGGGGAGGAGAAACAGGTGAGCAATGGCGTATATGTTTGGCTTCTACAGGGATACAATAGAGACCAACCTGGAGTTTGGGGAGGAGGTGATAAAGGTTTTGAGTGACAAGCTAAGACTTTGGATCTTCCCTGCAGTGCACCGTTGATATTTTGGGCTGGATAATTCTTTGTCATGGGGGAGTGAATTGTGCGTTAGAGGAAGTTCAGCAGCATCCTTGATCTCTACCCACTACATACCAGTAGCACTGCCCCTCTCCCTACCCTGCCTCTTGTGATAACCAAAAATGTTTCTAGTTATGGGGCCCAGTCTCTCCCAGTTGAGAGCCAATGCCTATGAGTGATGAGATGTTCTAGAGCAGGAGCAGGCATAAGAACAGAGGGGTGTCCTGGAAGCTGTGCGCTCGGCCCAGGTTGTCTCCAGGCTGTGGTCCTCAGTTGACTCCAGTGGGGGGTTGTCTTCCTGCACCCCGAAAGAGTCTTCTCTCCTTCCCAGAAAGGGCAGGGCCTGGGGGCTTTCCCATAGGCTAGCAGGTGTGCTGATAGGACCTTGAGCATCTGAATGGAAAAAGAGAAGCTGTGGTCCAGATGTGTCAATAGCTCATGCTGGCTGTCATCTGGACCCAGCCATGGGTGACACTCTACACATCATGAGCTATTTGTGGACTTGGCCCCTCTGGGGAGGGTTAAATTGGGCCCTTGCCATCCTGAGACAGTGCTATGCTCTATTGAGTCATGAGGGTGTTATTACATGAGGGAAAGACTGGTCCGTAGCTTTCGGCTTGGGCGTCTTCCTCAGGATGTCACTGGGTTTGTGTAGAGGATTCTCTGGGTCACCCAAACTTGCACACTTTGGGAAGCCAGCAAACTAACTTACTTACTTACTTTCTTTCTTTCTTTTTAAAATTTATTCTCTTTTCCAAAGTTCAGTAACTTGCCCATCTTTTGTTGTTTGTTTTGTTTTGTTTTTGTTTTTAAGAGATGGGGTCTTGCTCTGTCACCCAGGCTGGAATGCAGTGGTGCCATCACAGCTCACTGCAGCCTTGAACTCCTGGATTCCAGTGATCCTCCCGCTTCAGTTTCCTGAGTAGCTAGGATCACAGGTGCATGCCACCATGCCCAGCTAATTTTTAATATATATCTATTTGTAGATACAGTGTCCCACTGTGTTGCCCAGGCTAGTCTCAAACTCCTGGCCTCAAGTGATTTTCTGCCTTAGCCTCCCAACACTCTGGGATAACAGGCATGAGCCACTGAGCCCAGCCTAGATAAATTTCTTAAATTGATCTCTTGGGTCCTGGCTTTTTGTCAACCTGAAGCATGTCCTAAGTCAATGGGAGAAAGTGGGCACCCCCAGAAGACACTTTTGCCCAGAATTCTCTTCCTTTCCTGACCCCTCTTCCCCAGGGTGCCCAGAATTCCACTCTTAGAAATGCATTGTCTGGGTTAAAAAACTTAACACCTGCTATGATTTCAACAGTATCGAAACAGGATACGTCAAAACAGGGCAAGGAGGAAATGTGTCTGGGTTCTAGGATGGTGAAGGCTCTATTTTTTCTACTTTTCTGTATTTTCCATATTTGGTACAATGAGCACGTACTCAGAACGGTTTTAGATTTACGAAAAAATTGCAAACACAGTACAGATAGTTCATGCGTCCCCTGTGCCTAGTTCCGCTATTGCTAACGTCTCAATATTAGCAATAGAGCACAGTTAGCGTGGTGTGTTTGTTGCAATGGGTGAATGAATATTCGTGGGCTGTTATTAACTAAAATCCACGCTTTACCCCTATTTCCCCAGATTTCCTCTTATATCCTTTTTCCGTTCCAAGATTGCATCCAGGATGCCACGTCCCATTTAGTCTTCATGCTTCCTTAGGTTCCTCTTGGTACGATGGTTTCTCAGATTTTTCTTGTTTTTGAAAACCTTGACAGTTCGAGGAGTGTTTGTCAGGCATTTTGTCAAACGTTCTTCAGCTGGGGTCTCTGGTGACTTTCTCATGCGTAGACTGGGAATGTGCTTTTGGGAGGAAGCCCATGGAGGTGACGTGCCAGTCTCAGAACATCGTACTAAGAAAAGGTTCTGCCAACTTGACTCACCACTGTTGCTGGTGACGTTGAGCCCCCGGCTGAGGTTGCTCCCTTGTAAAGTTATTCTTTTTTCTCTCCTTCCCATGCTGTACGTTTTAGAAGGAAATCACTGTGCTGTTCCATGCAGCCCAAGTTTGATGAATGGGGAGTTCTACCCCACCTCCTTGAGGGCAGAGTAGCTACATAAATTAGAATTTCTTAAGAAAGAGATTTCTCAAATCTCCTTAGAATTTCTCAAGGAGATTTGTCTGTACTCCCAGTTTATTATATAAATAAATGATGTATTTGTATCACAGGGACCCAGGGATCTTTACCGTATGCTTTGGGTTATAACCCAATGCTACTTTACTTTGTGGCTCAAGTATACTACTTTTAAATCGAGAAAAATAAAAAAATAAAATAAAATAAGGCCGGGTGTGGTGGCTCATGCCTGTAATCCCAGCATTTTGGGAAGTTGAGGCGGGTGGATCACTTGATGTCAGCACAAAACCCTGTCTTTACTAAAAATACAAATATTAGCTATGCATGATGGTGGGAGCCTGTAATCCAAGCTACTCGGGAGGCTGAGGCAGGAGAATTGCTTGAATCTGGGAGGCAGAGGTTGCAGTGAGCCGAGATCGCACCACTGCACTCTAACCTGACAGAGTGAGACCCTGTTTAAAAAAAAAAAAAAGGCCGGACGTGGAGGGTAAAGCATTCAAATCATAGTATTTGAAGAAGGAGTGTCTATTGCGCTGACCTCATGCAGGTAAGTCCCCCCATG